GTGTGGTTTTGATGACGTCATTGAATGTCATTGGTGGACTAGACCTTTCAGTGCGCTGGGTGGAGGTGCTACCGTTGGACCGCCTCTTAATGCTCCAGTGACGTCATCAAACCGCAACTCCCCCAGTCATCATGATCACCGTGCCTTTAAGCTTAGAGAATACGTGGCCAGCCTACTTCTAAGGAGACTAGGATAAGCTAGGAAATCAAGCACAATGCCAGGCGTCCATCCATAGGCCTCAACCGTGGGAGGTCAAATTTGACCCCTTGAGAACGGGAGCTGTTGTAGAGGGTCGGCTTGGAAAGCCAGAAGAATTCATTCTCAGAGGTGAAAAAGGGAATTCTTGAAAATCACTACTATTTAGGAGTTTTTACTCCTTCCTCTTCCTTTTTAGTGCTGCTTTTCATTTTTTATTCTTACCATATCCACAGGATCATCGAAGAAGAATAACCTTGGTCTAGCGCGTCATCCCAGCAGACGTTCAGTCCTTTCCGCGTTATCTGTTTTCGAAAAGGAACTTCGCAGAGTATTCTAGTCCAAGTAAGAAAAACTCGCTGAAAATAGAGTTGGGAGGGGCACTCCCTGTCATCTCATCCTCGGTACTAAGAAGGACTGTTTGGGGCTTTCCAGCAGGATAAGATAATACGAAAACAACTCATACAAAGTGTAGTTAGAAAAGGATCGGTGAATGAACCATATCCCACAAAATCTGACCACATCCTTCCAGTATTTTGTACCTAGTCATAGATCCTGGAGTCTTTCACCCTTACCTAGGCAAAGGTGTCCACTCCCCTGTTTGAGGGTCGTTTTTTGAACCACTGCAGGTTGAAATGGGTAACGCTTCAGTAGCACTTCTGTACTACAATGACACTTACCAGAGAGAATGACTCGATTACATGCATGAGTGCCTATATTCATTCTCTAGTACAGAAAAGCACAATGGAGTGTCTCCCCCCCCCCCTCAAACTCCGTTTCACTGACAACCTGCGAGGAGGCGCCACTCTGTAGCGGAAACTGTCGCGAAATCAGACACAGACATGAATTAAAAACGGCTGTTGGTCGAATCAGAGGCGCCAAGGATCGTGATTAGTCACTGGTGTTACATATAGCGCATTAGCGACGGTCTTCGTTCCTAAGCGAGACCTCCATGACAGACCGTTCTCATGTAAACATTAAACTCTCGTTCCTATAAACATCCTTTGTTAAGACACTTCCCTCCTGTGGTCCCGTGGAGCTGCTCGGTTCATTTGGTGTATTGAACACATGTTTCTAATTTGTTTGTTCACTGCTGTTTTAACGGCGCAGTTTTCATTGCGAATGTTTCACAAGAATACTGGGTTGTGAACAAAACTTTCGCCACCAGGCGGGACTCGAACCCTCCTTGGGCGAAAGTTTTGTTCATATCAGCATTCGTGTGAAACATGTTCCTCGAGTTGATGAAATCAGTCCTTTGTTCCTCCTATAGAATATTGTAAGAGGCTTAAAAATGTTTGCACGCCGCGACAGCGACTGCTCCTTCCCTCCCAAAGTTAGCGCCCACTTCTTTCAAGATTAGGTTGCTATAAGGATAGTTCTTTCCCATCGATAGTCTGTTTCGGAATACAATGTGCAGGTCGGGGAGCATCAAGGTGCGTGAGATTGTGCAGCATTTTTTGAGCCTCTCTTACCAATGATATTCGAGCGAAGGTTTTGCCATGTCTCGCCTTTTGAACGAATCAAATTCGAATCTGTGCCATTACAGGCGCGCAAAATCTGACTATATTGATAATGTTTGTTAAAGGGTGCCTAAAAATAAAAATAAATAAAGCGAAATCTCGCATTTTAGTGTAGCTCGAATTCGGCTGTTGATTTTGGAAACGCTCACAGTAGCGCTGCTTGTTTATGGAGGGAAAGACCTTACCCTGCATCATGATGGAGTGCAGCGAATGTTTATAAGTTTCTTGTATATTGTAGTATTGGTAGGGCACACCCTCCCAGAGGCCCGTCGCGCGGCCTATAAGGCTGGTCAGCCTGACGGTTCGCGCGTGTATTAGGGAAATTGCGTCACGGGAAGTTAGATATGTCCCATTGTACATTCTTGCATCGCTCAGACGTCCACGATTTTTGTCGTGTCGGCCTGTGTTGAGTTGCGAATAGCCTTCTGGTTGTACCCAGTATTGGTAGGCTATGAGTTTAAAGTATTTACTTATAGTAAGTAGATAGTTATAAATAATTTTGGCCATTAGCTATTACTTCTATTAAGAAAACAACTACTTTTTGGGGAATTCTGCCAATTACGGCAACAACACCTTCGATTATTCATGATTTTATGCAGTGTAACTACTCCTTATTTCATAAAATTACAGTTATGAAAAAGGTCGATCCCAATAGTGAGGAGGACTACTGGGATACAATCAAGGCCGAGAAAGTTCAAATTCCTGTTCAAATCACATCTCAAGGGTAAGTAAAACTGTTTTTTTTTCTCCAGTGTCTCATCTGTTTAGGCCGATTTGCAGAAATTTCTGAAATATTTTTAAAGTGAACGATAGGCTACTTATCGAGTCGATTTTTAGGACAATTTTTGAGTAATATTTCAATATTTAGATAGAGTATTTCCAGGGAAGTGAATTTACCACCATCTGAGCCTCACTTGAAAGTTGTTTGCATATCTGACACACATGACCAGCTCGATTTGGTCAAGGTATGCGAGATGAGGACTTTTCGCCTTTATTTGATGGCAAAAAGATAGAGTATGGGTGGGGAGGAAATGCACGGGTACCCGGCAGGAGGCTCGTCGCGCGGTGAGAAGGCAGAGACGGGTCAGTGGACGAGTCGCAGCAATTTAGCGTCAAGTTCAACAGAATATAAGCTTTTACGCTTCACATCGCACAATGTGCGCTGCGACTCGTCTCCGCTTGACCCTCTGAGTCTCTGCCTTCTCTCCGTGGGATGGGCCTCCGTCAAGTACCCGAAATGCACCCATGACATTCTTTCTGTTTCGTTCCTTGACCATACTCCTCGTTGCTTCCAATTCATTTCTCAGGACATTCCTGATGGAGATGTTTTACTTCACGCTGGTGACATGACAAATTACGGGTCAGAAAAAGAACTAAGGAAGTTCAACGAAGAAATAGGTACGTCAGATTTTGTCACAAAACGGAATGATTGTAGCTCGATTTACGGCAGCCTTGAAGCGATAAAACGCCGATCGTTGGCAAAAGTAGCAAAGGTGGCGAAAG